CAAACTTAATCGCAGTTGCGACCAAACAAAACGGTTCGATGAATTGTAGACGATAGTTGGCAATTTGCGATGAGAATTAAATCGAGTAAGTATATCGAATTTATAATGCGAGTGGTGAAGGATTCGCAGCAAAGTACTACGGATAATAGACTCTATAAAATGTTTAAACAGTTCTAACTATTGAACATTTCATCATTTATTGTGTTTTGTAAAAAGTTTCAGTTGAACACTGTTCTAAAGTTGAAATTTTTAAACACGATACTATGTACACAAAAACAACGGGACTATTCCCACCTCTCGTTCCCACCGCTGCAACTCCTGTGTAGCCAGGATCTACAGCTTGACCGCCATACAAAACTCATATGCACAAAAACAGTATTACCTAGTACAAACCTATGGTACTGAACTCTCAACTGGCTCTAAATAACGATCGCGTCGATTGCAATTTTGCAACAATCTTTTAGAATAGGATCCAAAAAATCGAATTTCGTCAAGACGTATGCGGGCTCAAACTCGGATCTAATGCCTGCATCCAGGGGGATATTCTGCAGACTCATCAAAACAATAAACAAAGTATCGGGCCCTATTTTATTACATTATTATGCGCACCCTATGATTTACGCTGCATAGATCGGCGCAAGTTGACAGAAAAAGTTTTTGCTACAAAAATAATGGTGAATCTATCGGGGATATTTGTTTTGGATCGATGGGAAGAGTAACGGAATGGTGATGCGGTTTTCATTTATTGTTCAATTTAACATTAAAGTTTAGTATAACCTGGTACTATTACTTATTCTGTGGTATAACATTGTGCCCTCGGTTGTTAAGAGTTTTTACACGTGGAACCTGGCCACTTAATTAAGTTTTTATTCGATCAAGTAATATCGATTGTCAATTTTTGTCGTGGATTACCGCAGGCACCAATTTGGACAAGTTTATATTTTCCGAATCCAAATCCATAAAATTCAGGTGAAAAAAAACCTGACAAAAATAATATCCATCCCAAATTAGTAGGAAATTATAAAAAAAAATAAAACCGACTCCAAAAAACCTACACTAAAAAGTAGAAAAATAATTACTAATTACCTACTTATTTATTAGGACGAATTATTAATATTTATGTAGGTATACCATGATTGATACTTCTGGAGTCGGTGCCAAGATTATGAAACATGTAAAGTTTGCCTGCACCGACTCCAAAAGTATCAATCATGGTATACCTACATAAATATTAATAATTCGTCCTAATAAATAAGTAGGTAATTAGTAATTATTTTTCTACTTTTTAGTGTAGGTTTTTTGGAGTCGGTTTTATTTTTTTTAATAAAATTTTCCTTATTTCTTGCTTTTTAGTTAACTAATTATTACCTTGATGTTACCACTGAAGGTAGGCAGTACATTGAGACCATATTCTTAGTAGACTAGTGTAAAATAATATTCCCTACAAAATACAGGTTACCATATAGGAAACCTAAAAAGACTTTAAACCGTCAGCCCACCTTAAAAACATGAAAGAATACAACTGTTGGTCTATTTGTACTTATAATATTTAAAGAATTATCCTACAACTCCTAAGCATTAAGGAGTTGTACCTACCATGATCAGTTTTTCTTCAAATTCGCATGAGACCACCCTTTTGATAATACCTACCTATTCAACAAAAAAATAATCGTTCAAATTGGTTCATAATCGGCGGAGATATTGCGTATAAAAAAGTTCATCCCCAATTTTCCACCCTTGGGGGTGAAATATTTTTTTAAAATTCGCATGAAACCACCCTTTTGATAATACCTATTCAACAAAAAAATAATCGTTCAAATTGTTTTATAATCGGCGGAGATATTGCGTATAAAAAAGTTCATCCCCAATTTTCCACCCATGGGGGTTGTTTTTTTATTATTAAATTTAAATGGGACCACCCTTGAGGTATTACCTATACGCCGAAAAAAGATGCGTTCAAATCGGTTCATAATTGGCGGAGTTATCGCGTAACAAACATAGAAAAAAAAAAACATACGGGTCGAATTGAGAACCTCCTCCTTTTTTTGAAGTCGGTTGAAAATTGGCCAAGTGCGTGTCGTGCCACGCGCAGTGTAGGGTTCTGTAGTTGTCCGTCGTTACCATAATATATTTCATAAGCAAGCAATTACTTCATCTAAAGTCTTTACAATACTTCATCAAAGGATGGACGGAGGCCATGATCATGAAGCGCTGGGTTCATACAAAGTTGCCACCATTCCCATTCCAATTCCCCATTTTCATTTTCGGGGCCCTCCCTGCGCATGAGTGCATCCTATAGGGAAAGTAAAGTAGTATTTATCTTTATTGAATTGTATAATGTATCGAACTAAACAGTAAATGGATAACTTTCTCACCAAGTTACTTGCACTTCATGCCGAAAAACCAAGGCAATGGGTGGGAATCAAAACGCCAAGCACTCCGTTTAGCGTCGTCTTGGGCCTGCTTTACTTTATTGTTCTCTGGCTTGACCTTTGTGGTGTGTGGCTATAAATCACTTTCTTCAATCAAAATCAGGAATCAAAATGGTGAAATCCAACTCCAAAGATGAAATCACGTTTTTATTGCGTGGCAGCACGCGGTCTTCAATGCATGTGGTCTTCATCAATCTTCATTCACAGATAACTATAATATTAGTCGGAGACCTCATTCTTCATTCAATGTCAATTGTCATGTCAATCATCACCCATTTTCCTTTTGTTCTTTTTTTTTATTTTATTTTATTTTTAAAAATAGCTTATTGTCACGGATTACTAATGTTTGGCCAAAAAACGTTTCCCAAATTATCACATCGCAAACAACGTTTCGCAAATTTTCATTTGGCAAATTCTCATTTGGCAAAACAACTTATTGCAAACTTTTAATTCGCAAATGTTGTTTTTGGCATATTATTGTTTTGCAAATTATTGTTTGGCAAAGTATGTTTTGCCAAATGCTTCATTTGGCAAAGGTATTTCACGACAAACTATTTGCAAAATAATTTCATTAGTGCATAGAATGGAATATATATTAGCTTGTGGTTATTGTTTTGTTTAGTGGGTAACTAGTTAATATAAAATTTGTTCTAAATTATTTTATTATTTCATTATTTTTATCGAAATTTTCAAAATAGAGGTGATTCTAGGGTCACTGTTCTAACCTAACCTAACCTACTATTTTCTGCAGTACCTACTTTTTGGAACCACTATTTTCTGCAATATCTTTGTTTTAGATAAAATTCTTGTGAAAACCATGATGTGCATTATGCTTTGATTTGTGGGTAACGGTGGGTAAGTATGTGAAGTGTCAATTTGACCAAAAAAATTATTTGGGATATAATATTTGGCAAAATAAAACATTTGCTATATAAACATTTGCCAAGTAAAATTTTGCCAAATGATAATTTGACGAAATGAATTAGTTGCGAAAAGTACAGTTGCTAAAAGTTCATTTGGGAAATGAAACTTTGGCGATAAGTTGTTTGCGAAGTGAAATTTGGCGAAAAGTAATTTGGCCAAACGGAAGGATACCTATTGTCACAGATATTGATAGATGCAGTATGTGAAAAAATTTGTGTGAGGACGAGCGTGCCACTTTTTAAACGTCATTAGTGTCATTTTAGCGAATTTTGGTGATTGCCGCAACGTAAAAATAATCGTATCATCGTACTGCAATCGCAAAGTAATCGAGTGATGTCGTGTGACTCGATTCGATAATTAATTAATTCCGATAAAACTGATATTTTGATAAATTTATAGCTAGTCGGAATGTGGATCGAAATAATTTTGTAGCGGTAAACGTCATTCTATATTATTGATTTTCTTATTGATTTGCATAATATTTTTTATTGTGCTTCTATCAAAGTAATGTTCGTTATTCCATTGTGCTAAATAGTACTAGTGGCGCTCTCTTTGTAAACATTGTCTTTGTCAATGTTATGTTTTTGTTTTGTTTTGTATAATGTTATTATTTTTTTTTATTTATAATGTTGGTTGGAGAGGCGCCCGCTGAAAACCAGCGTCGGGGCACGCGTGCATGCACGCGTGGCTCGATTAATGCTGAGCGGGCACCTTTTTGGCACAAAAATATGCGTGTATAGTTTTAAGTCCCTTTGTTCTGTTTTTTATTTTTTTCCTTTTTTGTGTCAAATAAAGTTTTTCTTATCTTATCTTTCTTAAAGTCACTTTTTATATTTTCTTCTAAAGAATTTTTACTGGTTAAGAAATTTTATAATACATGAGTCAAATGACTATTACTCTTAAACTAACTGATGTATCTTAACCGCTATAGTTTTCCTTGAAAGTTCATGAAAAGCAGTATTATTACGAATTTTTCCAGATTTTTCAAGCCAACAGTTTAGTTTTTAGAGGGCAAAAACAACACAACTCGAACAAAAATTGGCACTTTAAACTTTAATTATTTGCAAACAGATCCCGAAATGGAAAAATAATCTTAGAAACCTCTAAACCATTTTAAAAGACCTATCCAACGATACCCCACACGATGGGGTAGAAGATGAAAAAAAAAATCATCCCCACTTTACATGTATGGGAGGTACCCTAAAAAAAATTTTTTTTTTCAAAATTTTATTTTACCGTTCTGTGCGTGATTAATATACATACCTCCACAAAATTACAGCTCCCTAGTGCCAATAGTTTCCAGGCAAAACCTCGGACAGACAGACAGACATATCGAAACTATAGGGTTCCTTGTCAGGACTACGGAACCCTAAAAAGGACTTCGAATTCAAAATGTTTTAAAAATAGGTACCCCTTCTGTGTTGTTGTTGCACCCATCAGCGCACACAATAGGGCAACCAATATTTTTTCAAACGGACAACTGTCTCTAAATATCCAATTTGCTACGGTGCATTTTCTAAGGGCATCGCTTGTGGCATCGCGTTCCGCGAATGCAGCACAATTTATGCATCATGCGAATGATTGGTAAATTGGTGACATAAAGGTTTTATTTGTCGATAAATAACGTAACTAATCTATCCACAGTGTTGCCGACAGCGCCCCATCGATTCCCGCGCAAACATCAAGTCGGCGTCCACGTGACCAGTAACAATTTCATTCCACGCCCAACGCCGCATCGAGCAGACGTGTTACATTAAACTAAAAAAGACGCATTTGTATTAGAAAACTCATTTAACATGCCAAGAAAAAAAATCAGACCAGGAATATGGCTGGCACACGAGCTCGCACTTATCAACGCTGTGAAGAAGTACCCAATACTTTACAAGAAGGATTACCGATCAAAGGAAGATGCGACGGAGGAATGTTGGGAAGTCATCTCGGCAGAAGTTGGAGTCCCTAGTAAGTTTCTTCAATCTTGTAACAATAACATTATTTATTATTGATAAATTATTAAGTGTTATTTATTAATCTCTTGGGTGTTTGTTTGTGGATTTAGTTCATATTTATTGTGCATTATTATTATTAGAATTTAGAATTTTTCCTTAGCGAACGTTATGGTTTACTGTTTTATACGAGACAGCAAAATACTGCCGGTTTTAATATAATGTGATGTGTCAAAAAGATCTGAATTTCGTAGAAATAAAACTGTCTGAATAAATTAGCTAAATCTAGAAATTAATCTTCTATGTCATATCTCGTATCGATCAATATAGAGATGGAATGATTTATATCCGCGTACTCGTAAAAATCAGTAGTAGTTAAGTAGGTGTATAATATATTTTTATTACTTGTTCGCAGAAGATCAATGCGTAGTGAATTGGATGAAGTTAAGAAAAGATTACTTCGGAACAATACACAGTCGACGAAAATGTCTGCAGTTCCATGAATCACCTCTAAGTTTTCTAGATTGTAGCATTTTCGACAAAATCTATAAGAGTGCATCAGATAGTAAGAAGAAAAACAAAAATAATTACGTCGCAGAATGTGACCAAGACTCATTAAGTGATAAGGAATTTATGACTGATGAAGAATTAAAAAATCTTATAAAACCAAAAAAAAAGAGAAATATTTCAACGCTTAGATCTCACCCAAATAGAAGTTTACCACAAACGTCAATTCCAAAATCAAAAGTCATGATTGCTGGATCACACACCACTAAAACTGATGAAAAGAATTTACCAGAGACAGTTACTGAAATTAAAATAGAGGTACCAGATATAGATGACACGGATGCAAATGAAAGCAACCCTAAAAGATTTAAGCCAAGCTCTGATACTCCTTTAGAATTTGAAATACCAGCAACGACCAGTGTTGTGAAACAAGAAGTTGAATATAACCCGACATTGACTGATCTGTCTGTTGGTCTAGCTTCTAAAGATGCTAAGACATTTTACAATGAAGTGGCTAGTTATATCACTAGCAAGTTTTCAGCTAAGAAGCAGACAGACATACAGCTACGGATCTACACTTTATTGACACATATAGAATTAGAAAAGTTGAAAGCCGCAAAGCAATGATTTAATTTTTATTTTTGACATTCATATTTTTTCATTTTTGACATTAATGTAATTGTAATGTAATGACTGTTGTATTTATTAGAAATACATTAAAATATAAAAAATCATTCTAATATTTACTATAAATAAGAATAAATGCATACATTCTAATATTGAAAATTATGGTTTTTATCATTGAATCTGTGTAACCTAAGAAGTACGTAAGTAGATATCCGAACAGAACTCAGAACAGTAGATTCATAAACCGGGCAAAATCGTTAGGGGAGGCCTATCTTCAGCAGAGGTCGCCTGTTGTAGCCGAAATGATGATGATGATGATGAATCAATACATCAGTTTTTATCGATAAAGAAACCTTTTTAGCACACTAATATAATGAACGTCATCTGAACTGCCTAAAATTATTGATTCCGACTCGTGGGTTCGAATCCCATATCAATAGTTTGGAGCCTTATCTTACTATGAGACCAAATAAAAAAGGTCGTCGCCATTAGCCATTTAAATTCTAAGTGTTTGTTTTTAGGGTTTAGAACAATAATGTGAATTAACGGACACGTGAAGCCACTAACATCTAGTCCACCAATAGGCTGATACATACGATCATCGTTTCTACCACAGGAAATCTTTTCAGGAGAGATTTTCTATCAATAGAAAAATGGCAAGATTTCTACAACTATCAGTCCTACGCTATCCGCAACTTAGTCCATCTCGTCACCTCACTAGATCGTCGATCCATTGAGAGCGAATTTGATAATATAATAAACAATACAATACTTATTTAACGAAATCGAATAAAAAGTATAGATACTGACGCACAACTCGGTGTAATGTTAAGTTAATTAACCTATTTGAGAAAGAATTTACAGTAGATACCTATGATGTCCGATTCTGTTTCATTTAACCACAATACAATTAACGAGCATAATAAAAAAACTGAATTGTTTTAGGATAAAAAACACATGTTCATGTTTGTTTTGAAAATCTAACAAGTATCAATCAAGTAGCATTTCCCACAAATTCATCAGCTCTTTGTGGGAACGGCACAATATCCAGGATATCCGAGGGGGAGCGAGACATCATATTTTTATCATCATTATGTCAAGAAAAATTCCACGTTGGTATAGTATGGACGTGAAAAATATTAATCACTAGCGACCGCCCGCGACTTCGTACGCGTGGATCACGATTTAGTCCTTTCTTAGCGGATGCCTACGTCATAACATCTACCTGCATGCCAAATTTTAGCCCGATCCGTCCAGTGGTTTGGGCTGAGCGTTGATAGATCACTATGTCAGTCAGTCAGTCACCTTTGAGTTATATTTTAGAAGATTAAAGTAGTATTTATGTCTATGATCAATATTCTACATTAAAATCCACAACGGGGCGTAAGCCTTCCCTATAAAATTTACTGGAGAGAGATTAAAAGACATTCTTGTTCTGGGAAGATCTACTCACAAGTACATGCTTGAAGAAGATGCATCTGTACGATAGCAACAATTTGAAAGTTCAGCCGCAGAAAATAAGCTGGAGATAAAATTTCAATTCATAAACCGGGAAACAATAGCATAAAATAAAGAACCTAACGTACACATTAATCGCGAAAGTAACGGCTTTTGTTCGAAAATTTAAATTAAAAATGAAAATATTTATTTCCAGAATCAAACAACAAAACAACACTATAACTAAAAGACAGACCTCCACACTAGGCATTGCCTGTCCTGTAAATCCTGTCGATAAAGGAGACTTTCATTAGCAAAGTAATTATTAATTTAAATTTCAATAATTCATTAAAAAAAAATAACACGGGCAGAAGCTATGTTTAATACTCGGTGCATGTTTTTTTGTATTGTCGTATAGTTATTTTGCAATTGACAGTAGTCCGTATAAGAACAGTGGTATTAACTTGATGTGCCTTTCTTTTTGCATAAAATTCATTCACATTTTCTACCACATCCATACTAAGATTTCGCGTCATATTTTGATCGGTGAGCGGTGTTTTTAACGGGGAGCTGCATATTATTGGCTGATTAATGACCTGCTCGTACTACGACGAAAACAAACTGCAGTTTAAGACGTAGAGGTAAGTATTTTGAAAAAAAAAAAGAAAAAGTACTTGAAAAACAAGCTTTTGTTACTAATTTCAGATAAAAAAAATATTACCAAAAAACCACAATCAGGGTTTTGACGCCATTAGACTTTAACAATTGTGTAAATAAGATAATAATTGTTATGTCAATAATCTTATTTAACTTTCAACAGAAGTATTCAACAGTTTCAGGGGTAGTAAAAATAAAGAATGAGTTTCAAATGTTTGTATTTTTTTAAAGTGAAGCTTTAAGTTAGTGCCAATGGTATTTTGCTGATCACTCTCCTTCTCCTACATTTATTTAGTTCTCTTTCAGGAAATATGTAATCGCCAGCGTTTCTTATTCATTTCTAGTAGTTTCTTAACCACATTACACTAAACCTTGGGATCTTACTCATATAGATCACTAAGATCGCGAATGTATTGTTGTACATTTAATTTGCGAATTAAAATTAAAAAATATGTTGATGTATGTATGGTCATTGGTTATTATTAACAGTGGAAAGTTTATTAATTTATTGCGTAAAATGGTCAAATTTCTTATACCTAATACACATGGCTATATTGCATTATTTTAAATCATACGCTCGTAAATTAATACTGATTTTCACATCATACTATTGCCCCCTAGAACGCCCAGGTTCTGCGGTCTTCTTATTGTTAAAGTACCTTTATTGTACTTACCTAATATTTATATCAGATTATACTTTACATTTTTAGATTCAGATGAGTAGGTACCTTACAAGGTTCAAAAAGACTGGGTTTTATATTCTCACCTTGCCACTACGACAGAGTACGATATCTTTAAATACCTTCTCGATTCGGCTTATTCCACTATTCCCCGTTCACAATCCCGGTCAACGGGTATTAGCGAACAAAAAGTTCATTAATCCCCGTTATAATAGGATTTTATTTTGATTTTATAATGTCCAATTGGCGTTAACTGGGAATAGTGAACAAAAAGTTCACTAATCTCCGTTGACGTGGATTGTCAATGGGGAATAGTGGAATAAGCCCTCGATTCAATCGCAAAGTACGTCTGCGATCCCATCCATGAGTATTTAATCAATCGTCTAGAAACTTCTCCGATCAATATGCGAATCGCCATATCGTACAATCCGACCACTTCAAAAAGTCGACACTTCTCGCCACCCACATCTCACACGCTGTCGTCCTAGAATTAGCAGCATTGTACAGCTTTAAAAGACATTGTCTGTAAGGATGTGAGAATTTAAGCTCAAGGTGGAGGCGGTGGGCGTGGTGAATTAGACCACGCCCAGTCGGTAGGCGTGGCAAGCTGAAGATTTTTTATTGCCCTTATCAGAACGGTTGCGGTTTTGAACTGACCGAATAAAAGCTCACTAATTTATGATGCTCAGCTTTCGTGTATAAGCCGAGAAAATGTAGAGCAATGTATAAGAAAATTTTCACTTACCAATGATAGTTCTTATTTTTTTAATCATATTCAAATTCAAATTCAAATTCAAATTCAAAATNACTTTCTATGTTATAGTCAGGCACAATGTTTATTATGCTGTTCGTAAGATACGGGGATAAATGCCTCTTATTTTTGTAACATCTCAGTAAATAAGGATAAACCGAAGTATCTGTTTGGATTAGATATAACTTACTATGTTTGTTCGTAAAAAATATATAGTTTCCTGTTAATTCCACGATACAAATCCTCGATTTTTATTTATTTCTTTCCTTAAAACTTTATTACACATCATTGTGTGATACAAAAATGATGATTTTTTCTTCATATTGCAATTTATTCCATTCAACCTTTTGGCAACAGGTTTGAGAATTTTAAAGGCATTGAGAGTTTGAGATTTTATCCTGACGAGCCCATTCGGTTTTAAAATATATTTTAGTAGGTTTTAAATCAATCATTTCATCAGTTTTTAAAACGTTGAAAGTCTAATGACGTCATAATATTCCAAGTTATGATTATTTATTTTTATAAGTACTTATAATATTTTACATCCAGTGTCTGGTAAAAAGCGATTTGTTCAATAACTTAGGATTTTATTTACTCAACCTAACCCCATAAATTATAAAATTGGCAAGCACTTATCCTAAAAGACGTTATCTACAAACCTAAAACTGATTTTACCACAATTAATAAAAGGGTGAGGTGACGTCATTAACAATATTTTCAACCACGCGTAAATTCACAGATAACTGGTGGCAACCTATTCTCCCCTTCTGGGGTAAATATATGCGTTTCCCCTCTATTTGGGGAGAGGTTATAAGTCTCCCCTTATCTTGTCCGTTCGCGTTAATATTTTTACAGACCACGGGGTTTTCTTTGAATATAAAATCTGGGTTTGGACGCATTTTTGGGGATATTTATGAACTCGCTTGCCATTTATAAGCGGGTTTGGTTGTGAAAATTGTTTAAGAAAAATATAGGGTCTAACATTTTCGCAAAAATTTTAGCAGTCGATTCA